CCTAGCGGACTACCCATAGCAAATCCATCAATCTGAAGAAAGTATTCACCTTCAAAAGTGAACTGAACTTTGTCAGTACATAGTAATAGTAAATCTTTAAGAAGTTTTACAGGTACACGCGATTGAAAATTGTTTTCAGATATGTAATCACATAATATATCAATGGTTTTTTTAAAGGTACATTTGTAAACAAGGAACTTACATCAAATGAACACATTGTCTTTTCCTTGATATTAATATAATCTAAATGATCAACCAGTTCAAAAGAATCTTTTAGAGAATACTTACATAGTTGTCTTCGAATAGGGTCCAACAACTTTGCTAACCATTTAGCCAGATTATGTGTAGGTGATCTGCACATTGATAGAATTAGACGTAAAGGAACATTAGGTTTAGAATTTTAGGCAGTCCATATAAATGAGGGTACTCAGAACCCATAGGTTTTAGAAAGTTAAGTTCCTCTTGATTAATGATATTCATGAGTAGCAATTTTTCTAGGTTTGAATTTACTCTTCTTTCTACTTTGCTGATACCTCCAAATTCAACATCAGGCATAAATTTACTTTCATCACTAAGGATGGATAACATCTTACTTTTATATTCACATTTATTCATGATAAGTACGCCTGATCCTTAATCAGGTTTTAACAGGACAATATCAGAGTTTGATCTTAGTTCTTTTATTGATTTAAAATGCTGAGAAGTTAATATGCTTCTCTGCTTCGGGCCAACACTATGAAATTGGTGTGCTATATCTACTAGTTTAGCTTTACACCAGCTTTGATTATTTGAAGACGTAGGGGTTAGAGTACTCAGTTGACCATATAGATTTTCAAACTGGGCATTTATTTCCGATTCAGACATTTGCGTTATAGGGACGGAGAAATTATAATCAAGAGAAACGGCTTCCTTTTCATTAGCAGATAATACAATGGAGGATAAATTAGTGACATACTTTTCAGGATTTACTGGGAATAAATTAACTTGATTAGTAATAATACAAGATTTTTCAAGCTTTTTACTGATCCTTTCCTTTGTTTTCGAAATGACATTACTGCAAAAGTTGGTAAATTTAATATGGCAGACTATAGATATTTCATTCCCTCCTTTGTCTTGAATGGTGCTTTAATGAGTTTAAATTCATGAGATTTCCATTCTATAAGTGCTTTCCGTGCTTCCTTGTACAGCATCAGTGCAACTCTCTCTGTGTGCATAGTATTGTTCCATAAACGGATTCCAAAAGTTACCATTCCTTATTGTCATTGGTATATAAATCTCAATACTTGGTCATAAAGTGGTTGATGTGCAGTCCAAGCAGACTTAAATGCACCCATGGTAGAGTGGGAAAATCTGTGAACTGAATCCTCAGATAATTCCTTCGAGCAGGAACTAGTTGATGAGGTTAGTACATGTGCCCTGGTGCAACATGTAAAAGAAGCGACTAGTTACGACCCAGACTCTGAATCATCCTTACTCGATCTTACACTGACTCATTATAAGGATAACGTTACGAATTTTGAGTACATGCCACCCTTAGGTAAAAATGATCATACAATTTTGCTTTTTGACTTCCATATAACTGTCAATCACCAGCACGCCTGAGCTCAGTCCAGACCTAACGTTCTGAAAGCAAACATCCAAGATATCATGCACTCGGCATCGTCAGTAGTTTGGACAACAGAGCCAGAGTCCTCAATCGATACGGTTTTGGAGGTATTTCGTAATTTATAAACCACATCCCTTGGACTACATCAAAAAGGCCGAGAAACTCTCCACCATGGCTCAGTGAGGAAGTTCGCATTCTTCTCCATAAGAGAAGAAAAATGTGGGATAGGTTTATGTTACTGGGGACTAATGAGACAAAATCTCAGTATCGAAAAGCTCGAAATACTTGTGCCTCAACCCTTTGAAAGTCTAGAAGGTTGTACGAAGATAAAATTGCCAACGAACCCATAGGATGTCCTAAACTCTTGTATTCGTATGAAAACCAAAGAACAAAAAGAATTGGAAATATTCCTGTACTATGAGGAGGTAGTATTGCTTCACCATCAGTGGAAGACGACGTTCGTAAGTGACAAGATGGAAAGAAAAGTCAAAATTCGATTGATTTAATAATTATGAGCTTTGTTTAACATTGCTTCCTTTCCGATTCAGTGTGATGATCATTCAGTGTAGTATTTGTTTTCTTTTGTCGTATGGTATTTTATTCTGTCTAATTTATTCAATTGACATGAACTATGCTCATTATGTGAATTGTCATGACTGATTATTTTTTATATATGTCATTTTCTCCTAATTATTAGTCAAATTGTGTGTGCAATCAATATATAAGTGAATGCATTCTCAACTAGGGTTGTCGTCGACACTGTCTGGATTAACATTCCTTCAGCTAGTCCTCTGTCTTCTCATAGCGACTTGGAAGGGCTCTAGCGTTCTAGTTCTCAAGTTATACGCGTCATATCAGGAATATAAGCATCTAGATGTAACAATAAGGCTCAAGTATTCTCAAACTACTTTAGCAGTGTATAAATCATAGAAACACCCTTCCCGTCAGTCAATACAAATCTCCCCAAACAAAGACTGGACAGCGTGACCATTAAAGAACTCGATGTCTTTGGTCTGTTAAGTAAGCGTGACATGGGCAAATCCACGGGGCCCAATGAACTGCATTCTAGGTTACTAAAGGAATTGGCTAACATCGTTGCGAACCCTTTAAGCATATAATTTAACCTATCCGTAACGCAGGGTCGTTTACCCAAAGACCGGAAAAACGCCATAGTAAGTCCTGTCTTCAAAACAGGTACGAAACATAAACCTGAGAATTACCGACCCGTTATCCTAACTAGTGTGATTGTTAAAATCTTGGATAGATTATTCGGAAGGAGCTATTTGAGTACCTCGATGAAAACCGGATCTTTTCAGAGAAGCAGCATGGTTTTAGGATAGATTATTCTTGTCCCACTAACTTATTAGTGGCTCATGAAAGCTGGTGCGCTCTTAAGGATCAGAAGTTACCTGTGGACATAGCCTACATTTACTTCAGCAGAGCTTTTGACAAAGTTCCACACAATCGGCTGCTATATAAGCCAAGAAATGTCGGGATGGGAGGCAATCAATTGATGTGGATAAAAAACTTCCTAGTTGAGCACCGACGATGAGTACGGGTGAACTCCAAGTTGTCTAGTTAAGAAACTGTGCTTAGCGGAGTGTCTCAGTATGCAGTTATGTGGGCAGTGTCATTCTACTTGTATGTAAATGACCTTCCTTGTCTCCTATCATCATCGGTCTTGCTATATGCTGACAATGTCAAGATATGGAAAGCGATAAGAAATAAAGGTGATAACTTAGAGCTTCAGAATGACCTGGAGAAACTATATGAATGGCCTCAGACTTGGCAGTTTCCGATAAGTACTTCCAAGTACATTGTGATGCATAATGGTCTTCAAGGTACAGATACATGCTTGATGAATAACATCTAGCTACCTGTTGTTCAGAAACATAGTAACTTAGGAGTCATCGTTAGCCAAGACTTTGTTGAAACGGCGGCTAACCAATATGTTGAGACTAATGTCCTCTATATCTGACCCCAATAAATAATATCCCGTAAACTGAGTATTTAACGTAGGCTTAATCTCCTAGTAGAATTACGGATTTGCTCGAGATTACTGAGAAGCCTGAACACCAGTTATAGAGACAATTTATTGTTAATGAATAATAATAATCCGCAAGCGTACAGCGAGAAAGCACACGATGGGACAAAATGAGTGAGTCAGTGTGTGTGTTAAAAATCCATATATATTTTTGAGAGTTAATCGGGTGTAGATAAATTATCGATTATCTGCACATTGCAGCCAATAGAAGAATAGCTTATGGGTTAATGTACAGACATGCATTCGATCATACACACCAAAATTAACATAGTGAATTAAGAGTCTGAAATGCACACAGAAATCAACATGATGAATTAAAAGTCTGAGTTACAATGAATAGACAAATGATACAGTGGCCAAATGGGCTTGCCACAACTTATAAACTACTACACACTACCGTGCGATAGCCACCGTAGGTTTTAGAACTCTATGGTCAATACATAAAGCCTTTAGAGGTGTCGAAACTAAAACGTCCTTGACTTTGTACACATTATTCGTTTGTCCTAAACTTGAGTACCGCATACAAGCAGCCAGCCTCTGCTTAAAAAAGGCAGTGAGATTTTGGAAAAGGTTCGGGGAGCGGCAACTAAGCTGATTTCCGGAATGGCGAAGCTCCCGTATGATGCTCTACTGGCCAAGCTAAACGTGGTCCCGTTGTCATATCAAGGAACTAAAATGATAAATTTGCACATGATATACCCTCATTTTATTTTCCTTCAAAAATAGAGAATTTACGAGGACACCAGAAAAGTTCACAAGCCCAGGACAAAATACTTGTCAGCTGGGACTCATTACCTCAGCACGTGGTTGAGGCTCTATCCATCGAATCATTCAAAAGAAAGTTGGATCAACTTAGAGACCATCATTCCCAGGACTAACACAGGCCATCAAGCCTCCTTTCCTTTCAAATCTGAAACTGAAACTGGCCTATAGTTTTCCGCAGAGCCTGGAAAAACCTCAGTGAAAAGACTTAGGTGAATGAGAATGTGCAAAGAACCATACTCAAAAATTGCAAAAACACAGCTGGAGGGTCCAATTTGAATTTTATATTATTGGAAGTTTCTTGCATGCAGTTGTTATGGTCATCTTAAACAAGCTGCACGATATAACTGCTCGCGCTACAGTCAAACACGAGACCTTGACATGGACGAGTTCAGCAGAGATCCCTGGTGTGTAAGAGTTTTTTATGATCTACTTTTAATATGTATTTTTTGCTTTTCTTGTTTGAATATTGAGGTTTTGCCTACTGTCATAGTGCATAATAATAACGATTAGAATAAGTTGTTTTCCAGTTTACGTATATTTACTTCAAGATATATATATATATATATATTGAAGTTTATCCCACGATTTGTATTTTCTTCTTGTTGGGATTATATGAGTTCGTTCAAAACTATCTCGGACGATTCTTTTTTCAATCAATTGCTACCAATCCTTGTTGCTTAATTAGTCCAGTTAAGTCATCGGTAATTGGAATCGATTATTCTTTCTGTATTGGTTTTCACCACTTGTCAATCGTAAGTATAAAAACCTAACAGCGTCAAAAGCTCATTGATGTGCACTAAGCAAAAAGGAACACTGGGTTTAGATTATGGACGCCATTTCACAAACGTTCACGGTAAGAACAGTATAAAATATATCCACTAAATTTAATATTACTCTGCTAATCCTGTAATAAGAGTCGATTTATTCTCGTGGTTACAAAAGGTTTCAATTTTAGCCACGTGTCTTTAGATGACATCCTAATTTGATGCTCTAACGAAGTCTTCGGACATCGTGCGTTTCAGGTACTTTCTCGATCGGTGGTCAGTCGTCTATCAACACGGTATAATCTGCCAAATCAATGTAACATTTAAGCTACTTCCTGCACGATTTTACTATTTTACGGACATTAGAAATGTGGTTTGAAAAGACTAATTAAAGGTACAAAAGAATACTAGAACTCAAGGTTTTGGATATAGTAAAGCCAATCAGTCAGCAACGTAGAACTTCGTAGGTACGTACATCAGTTCGAGTTGCCATACCACGTTAGCACAGAGATACAATTGTTGATTCAAATCCCGTAGTGGTAGAGGTAATAAGAATATAAGCAGTAATCGGAAAGATTAGGGTTTGAAGATGTTACTCAAGGGGTATAATCCAGAGAAGTAAAGTTGGAAAAATAAAAAAAGGACGTGAAGAACCCAGATTAGGATTTAGGAGAACACGAAGAGTTGATGCATCTGCGCCATTGCAAACGATTTTGAGCCATGTCATTCAGGGTCTCTAACCATCGGTCGCTATCGTCTCGTGGATCCCAACCAGGTAGTCTACACCTACCAATACGGCTCAGTCCACTTGTCAGTGACTTCATGGATTTGTGCCATGTCTTGGTCTGGCTGCCGGTAGCTTTCTTCCAGTCGGTATTTGGGCATACTTAACATGTGCCCCAGCTATCTCAACTGATGGAGTTTCACTACTTCATAACCCGACCGTTGTTGCTACCTTGACGTGGTGGTCGGGCTTGCCTGTCGTGATGAAGCAACCGAGCTATACTGGCTGGAACAACCGTTGCTCAAGGTCCTACCATGTCAGGCAGGTCGGTTGAAGAGCGGTAAGACTAAAAGCAACAAACCCAAGGTCCGAAGGTGAAGTCGTACTGCTGACTGTACAGAGGTGTGACAGCAGTAAGGTGTTTCCTTCAGACAACCAGCATGACAGCAATGCTGCCTTCCCACAAGGAGGGGCGGGGTTAGAAAAGGTCGACCCTAAAAATGCGCACCTCACCTTACCTCACGGATTTCCGTCTCCGGCAGTAAGGCCCTTTGAAGAACGGAGGTAACACGTCAAAAACCTCCCACGAAAAGGCCGTACGCGATCGGCCTCAAGCAGTTGTCCCTTGGGCACTGCGGTCACGCTCTCAGGTCACTGAGACCACCTCTAATCCAATTTCCTTTTCAGGTACCTCCAGAAGAACCCTTCTTCGGTGTGGGCAACCGGGAAGCGATAACCGCCCTCATACCTCTAACAGCACTCGAGACCACTGTATTCATAATCAACCTTCCTCTTCAATTTCTATTATTCCTCCTACATCGACTTTCAACTCTAAACTTCCTCTTTCGGCTTCCTCCTCAAGTGTCACCATAGCCAACGATTCTAGTGCTCAAAACTCTGTCCCAGGTCTACTGAAACCTCGCTCCGCACTACACATTGGAGCCTTCAACGTACGCATCCTATGTCAAATCGGTCAGCAGGCTTCCTTGGCTAAAACCCAAGAGTCTCTTTCTATTGATGTATGCTGTGTCTCCGAAACACGCATACAGGATTCCAGTGTGGTCATTCACTTGACCTCACCTCGGCAAAACGGAGAGCCAACGAGATACACCCTCCGTGTATCTGGTGACCCGATGGCCAGTTCTCGTGGACTGGCAGATGTAGGCATAGCACTAAGCATGAGGGCGGAACAAGCACTGCTAGGGTGGATCCCCGTCAACAGTCGTCTATGTTCTGTTCGGTTAAACGGCTCCGTAAGAACTCGGAAGGATAGGGATGCACGTCGTTGCCTTTTCGTCCTTTCTGCTTACGCTGCCACTGACTGCAGCTCAGATAATGTGAAAGATGAATTTTACAGAAAGCTGTCCGAACTTCTTCAGAAAGCTAAACGCTTAGACATAGTACTCGTAGGGGGTGACTTTAATGCTCAGATAGGTAGCTTAAACCAAACAGAAAGGCATTTAGGTGGATATTTTAGCATTCCGGCACAGCGAACAGATAATGGTGACCGTCTGCTGCAACTCTGCTCAGACAATCGCTTATTTTTAGCAAACACAAATTTTAAGCATAAGGAGAGACATCGTCTAACGTGGCGACCGCCTGCACCAAACCAACGATGGACTCAAATAGACCATGTTGCCATCAGTCATCGTTGGAGAGGGTCGGTACAAGATTGTCGCTCATTCTGTAGTACCTTCTTGGACTCCAACCACACCCTAATACGGGCACGCATCTGCTTGCGCCTCACTGGACGCAAAAAAGCCACAGTAAAAAGACCCATTAGAACCGAACTGAGTAGCGAGGAAATCAAAAGTAGGTTCCAGGAACAACTGAGGTCACACTTAGGTAGTTCTGAAAACGAAATTGACCCAGATGTTGCTTGGAAAGCCATACAGCTGTGGAAGCAGCAGTGACATCTATCAGTGATTTAAACCACAGGGTTACAAAGAACCAATGGATTTCCTCAAGGTCTATTGCACTGATGGATTCTCATAAACTCATCCCATCAGGCTCTGAACACGATGAAGAGCGACAACAAATCAGATCTAGGTTAAGCAAAAGTCTGAGGAACGACCGTGAGCAGTGGTGGGCAACGAAAGCAAAAGAGATGGAAAAGGCGGTGACTATAGGGAACACAAGACAGCTTTACAGACTAATAAAAGAAACTGGAATTCATAAGTCAAGTGTAAGTGAGACTATTTCGGAAAAAGACGATACTCTCATTTGTTCCCAGTCCAGACGTTTAGAGCGATGGGCGGAACATTTCAGAGAACAGTTCAGCTGGCCTTCAGCTACTCTACAACTACCCTCCATTCCCAGACAGTGTGAATGGAACATTGAAGTAGGTCCCCCAACTCTAGCTGAAGTTCAAAAGGCTATAGTTAATGTGAAGCGAGGAACGGCAGCTGGTCCAGATGGACTGGCTCCAGAGGTCTTTAAGGATGGTGGTCCAATTTTAGCGATTAGGTTGACTAATATTTTAGCTAAGATCTGGGAGTTAGACGTTATTCCATCTGACTGGTCACAATCACTTATCGTCCTAATATATAAGAAAGGGTCAAAATCATCCTGTGACAACCATAGAGGGATTAGTTTAACTAATATAGTATCTAAAATACTAGCCTCGATAATTATCAAACGCTTAACTAAGACTCGTGAACTGCAAACACGAGAGACTCAAGCTGGCTTCAGACCTGGTCGTGGCTGCATCGACCACATATTCACCATTAGTCAAGTTCTAGAACACAGGTATACTTATCGGCGTCCGACAATGGTGGTCTTTCTCGATTTAAAAGCAGCATTTGACTCGGTAGACCGCGAGATTCCGTGACAGTGTCTGTCATTGAAAGGCGTACCTCAGAAGTACATAAACCTTGTGAAGGCTCTTTACTCGAACACTACCAATCGAGTCAGAGCTTATGGCGAACTGTCATCTGATTTTGCAACCTCAAGTGGTGTCCGTCAAGGCTGTCCACTTTCTCCATTTCTGTTTAACTTTATCATAAACCTACTGATGGAAATAACATTCTCGTCGACTGAATTCTCGGGTATTGGTCTTCTAGCAGGAGGTCCACTTATCGACTTAGAATACGCAGACGACATAGTCCTGTTTGGTGAAGACGCTGACAAAGTGCAGAGTCTTTTGGTAGCACTAAGCAACAATCTCCCTCGAGATGCAAGTTGTTGCTTCAGGACTGGTCTGCGTCAACACCTGAACTAAGGATAGGGAGTGAAGTAGTCGAACGCGTTGGCAACTTCACTTATCTTGGAAGTCTGATCAGCCCTAATGGGTTGGTATCTGACGAAATCTCAGCACGGATTCGAAAAGCTCGTTTGGCTTTTGCCAACTTACGTCACCTATGGCGAAGGCGAGATATCCGTCTATCAATAAAAGGACGGGTATACTGCGCGGCAGTCCGTTCTGTCTTACTTTACGGCAGCGAAACATGGCCACTAAGAGTAGAAGACACTCGTAAGCTATTAGTATTTGACCACAGATGCCTTAGAAATATTGCTGGCATCTGCTGGGATCACCGGGTAAGTAATAGTGAGGTTAGACGCAGGGTATTAGGTAATGATGGTAAACCAGTTGATGGGGTTATGAATCTTCATCGACTGAGATGGTTGGGCCACGTGTTACGTATGCCTGAACACCGACTACCACGACGTGCAATGCTACCCGGTATTGGAGATGGTTGGAAGAAAGTTAGGGGCGGCCAAACCAAAACGTGGCATCAGTGCTTGAAGACACTAACTTCTAGTCTGATCCATGTTGGTGGATGCAGACTACTTGGTTGGGGTCCGCGTGACTTTCGTAACCGATGGTTGGAGACCCTTGGTGACATGGCTCAGAGTCGATCACAATGGCGTCGGTGTATACACTCCCTGTCTTCCCTTAAACTAAGAGATTAAAATCACTTCATATCTTTCTTTCTACGAACCAATTCTTTCTTCCTGTACTATATCATTATATGCAATCTTTCTCTTATATATTACCACCTTTGACCTAACCACTCCTATGAATCATCTTGCTGTGCTAATGAGGTATGGCAACCTGGACCGATGCATATATGTGCCTGGTCCTACGTTGTAGCTGACTGACTGACTGACTGACTGAATAGATAACGTTAATAGAAATGTGAGTTATAACCAGTCTGTTTTGTCCAACTAAAAAAACTACATGTTAATCCCAGCAAGTGTTCACGTCTTATTGACTCAAAGAGGATGCTTTGAAATCTCAATGAAACTTCTAGTTAAGGGCAATAAAGCATGTCGAGGCAGATTGCAATTTTTATATTAGGTTCACAAAGTAGAACTAATACCACTAAACACCGCTTTACAAAGTGAATGTACATGCGGCGTCAA